AGGCTTCTACAACTGAAAAGCATGACTGACATCAAGTTCTTGATTCAAGAAAACATTATAATATACAAGCTTCTTTTCCACAATATGGCCCTGTACCCTTTTGAATTGGGATGTTAGAAATGTTACTTCCTTGAGCTGGTCAACCTACTCTGCCCTCAGCTGGCAGAGCTGCAGGCAAATGGAGCTTAATAGAAAACTAAAGACATTGATATATTGTTATTGTTTGTAGCAGTCTCACCTTGATTTCCTAATGCAAGGAAAACAATTCATCTTGTATTTATATGGCTAATAGCTCTAGGAAACTTGGCTATCTAATGTAGCATCTACTTTACTTGCAGAAGCTGTAATAGACTCTTCTCTGTGGCATGGTAAATCATACAGATTGCATAAATAGGTAGACCTGAAAATGAGCACTGCTGAGGATCTACCCGTCAAGAGACTCCCATTGGAAATCAAATGACCATTTCAACTGCCAACACAATATAAATCTTTTGTTATTGGGCTGCTTTGTTGTGGTTAGTTGCAAATGAATTTGATTATTACAAAAGGGAAGATAATAACCAGGAAACATTTGGGCTTTGCAAGTTGCAAATACTTCTCCATTGACTTTAAATGTGTCTAAACGTATACAAATCAAACCAAGTTAGTGGCATCAGTGCCTTCATTATTCAACATAATTCATCTCATCCTATGAACAACAAATTAGTTCTTCACATATTTGTCATGATTAGGCTAGGTTTATGAGTGATTCATAGCAGATAGATAGTGGAATACACAATAAAGGATGGGGAAAACCCAAGGAGGTTGCTGTCTCTGCCACATCTCAGACAGGGAAGGTGGTGAACATGTGGTGAACATGCTAAGAGCACTGGCTTCAACCAGAGCAGAGGCAAACACTAGCATGGCATTTGTAGAGCTCAGATATTCCTAATGAAGACCCTGAAATACCTGCTCCTCAGACAAGACAAACAGGTTTAGAGGGGAAGATTTTATGCTTTTTTTTTTTTTTGGCACATTTGGAAAGCAATCCTTTAAAAATTTTTTAAAAAGAATTATTATGGTTGGAATCCCACAGTAAAATTCAGCATGAGAAACCCCGCATAATTATTGTGAAAGTACACACCTCTATTCCCTGCCAGCCTAAAGCAGGAAATAAGGTTAAGAAAAGCTGGAGAAATGGCTACTCAGCCTCCACTAGGGCAGAATTAAAAAAAACTTGAAAGGCGTAACAAAAACACTGTCCTAAAAGCTACTCTATTTACCTGTGCTCTGCAAATCCTTGAAAGGTACGTGCTGTTCAGGAAAGATGGAAATAAAGATTATCTCTGCAGATGGATGTTGTAACACCACAGTGTGATAGGTTATAAAGCAAAGACAAGGCAGCACAGGCCGAAGGTGAATCTCTTCAAGCCAGAATAATTCCAAGGAATGACAGTAAAAGTTGGTTCTATTGAACCTTTGAGCAACTGGAGAACAGCATCAGGAAGGGCGTCAGTTCCATGATGCATTTACAGCAGTACCATATCCAATGCCTACACTGCAGAGTAAGTGCAGCCAGCAGTACTGTGGTCCAGGTGCTCAGTGAGAGCGTCAGATCTCTTCACCAAGGAGTCAATTCGATGGTTGGACTAAATGATCTTGAAGGTAATTTCCAACCTTGAGATTCTATGATTACAGAGAGCTGCATTTAAGACCTGGTTTCGGCGAGCAGAGAATACATCATGCAAGAGCTAATCATAGACAAGAATTCTGCAGCAAACAAGCATGGGCTGGCTCACTTAAAATTAAATCAAAGAATCAACAAAAATAGATCTGCTACTATTTATTGAACTACCAGGAAACAACTAGTGAAAATAAGTTGACCAAATAACTCAAGGACTTCAATTTAAAAAGGACTTGACATTCAGATCAAAGAAACCTTCTCTTAAGTTAGAAGGGCAAAAAAACAACACTTCTAGAGAAATACTTCAGATCTAACAGGATGAATAATCACTTCAAAATGGCTATTACTCACAGAGAGATCAGACATAGCAGGTTGCCAGTGCAGTCCTGAAATATGTTGACCTATTTATCTCCTAGCAAAAATCTAAGGCACTGCCAAGCTCTGGTTTCCTCTGTCACACTCCAAGTAGTGGAAATGACCCCACTCACACTGCCACAACCACCAAAGGATAGGGCCAATGCATTTGGGACATGTTTCTTGCCACAAACCTCATACCTCAAAACAAAGCCAAACTGGTCACTAAGACCAAGCAATCTGAGCACATACATACCATGGAAAGGGAGAAGCATAAGATAGGAAAATTTACTTGGAGTTCAGAGAGCACAGAAACACAGTGGAAAATGCTGAAAGTGAAGCATTGCAAAGGAAATTAAAGTAACAAATGGCTCCTAATTTATATAAATAAAAGTAGACTGAGGCACAAACACGGAACTGATGGGAATGATGTAAAGATCAGAGAGAATCAAACATAAATGGATACTTCTGTTTTCTGTAATAAGATGATACCGAATTTAATGGAGGATAGACTATATTTAAAGGATGGATAATGGAAGAGAAATTGGAAGTGCTAGCTGTTTAGATGGGGATGAATGGACCAGCAGGGGATGAATGCCCTCTCAGTTCTGAGCAACTAGGACACTGAATACCACCATAAAGGGGTACAGGCTTCCTGGAAAACAACACAGGTAACAACTACGCTGGGAAAATGAAAAGTTATCCAGGCAGCTGTACATCCTTTTGCCAGGATAATTTTAAAATATATGTGGGGGAAAAAAAATGTCTGAGCTTACCAGAAGTTATCTGCTATTTATCCCCAAAGGGAAAACAACAACAAAAAAATTACAGTTATTTGGACTTTAGCACAGTGTTCACAATAGCATCATGTCGTAATTCACTATTTAAATCGGCCTGTGCAATTCACAGCACAACTATGCAGTAGGCAGTGATCAGGCCAGAGCAACAGGACAGCAGGCTTTGATGGAAAAGAAAGGATCACACCAACAGAGCTTTCCACACAAGGAGGGACAAAAAGTACCGTTCAAGGACTGCTCTTGTACAACATTTTCATTAGAAGTATATGCAAAACAAAAGTTAAATTTAAAATATAAATTGATATTAAGAAAGTTTTTTGATGTCACAAATTTAGGAAGTATCACCAGGCAGCAAAGAGTAGGAATATCAGGCAGGATGACTTCAAAAAACTGAAATAAGCTGTATTTATATGAAAAAGCAAAGGCTGGTAACAGAATAGTTGTAGTAAGAAGTTGAAAACTAAAGGAAATTAAATCACAGGGTACCCAAAGGCAGGGTGATTCCTTCCAGAATACCAAGATATGTACTCAGTGAGCTCAGAAATGTTATTTCTCATCACTGAAAAAGCAGTTGTACCATTGCAGCTACTGAAGGGCACCTCCTGCAGATCTCCAGACTGTTCTGGTAGCAAGTAGCACATGAAGATAAGCTCTTACTGTGAACGTTTCACGTGTGTGCTGTTCCCAGCTCCAACCAGGTACTGGTATCTGAACAAAGCATTTCATCTCTCTGGACTAAGTGTTACGCCCTCAGCTACTCCAAATTGACAAAGCTCTGCTGAAGCAAGCAGAGCAAAGCTGTAGCAAAGCTACAGTAGGTTGCTAGAGATCTAGCCATATCTAAAGGAGAGAAAAATACACAAAAAAAAAATTGCAGCTACTAAGCATGGCTTTGTGCTGCAGCCAGTACTGCTGCCCTGAAGGCTCTGGTTCACAGAGGGGTCCTGGCACAGGGAAGGGAGTTGCACTTGCCAAAGGAAATACTCTTTGCAGTATTAGCTTCCTTCCTGCTTTGCAGTGCTCCAAAGATCAACCCTCTGAATTCCCACACCTGCCCCAAGAAACAGGTGAGCTCGAGGCATAGGTGAGTCCCTCTGGCATTGCAAAGCATATCTGAACACGGGGAAGCTGAAGGCCAGTTATGCAGGTGGAACAATCCCCACTTGTTTTCTGCTACTTCAGCAGGACCTGAAGTGGTTACATTTTAAAGAGAGTCTATAAATCTAGCTGTACACACATACACATGTATTCATTTAATTTCACTCTTATGAGCAGCTATATAAAAACCCACAAGAACTATTTGCCAGACTTCCCCCTCCTTTGCTAGATTATAACAGCTGGTATACGGATTTACATTTTGAGCCTAATGCAGTAATTGCAACTCTAATAGTGTATTATCCTTTTCCTCCTGAAGGGACCTGGCTAAGAGTGTCACCCTTAAATTAACTGTAGAGATACACAGAGATGGATGCTTTATCTAACGGTCACATCATTTCTGGTCTTTAAAAAAAAGTTCAGCATAAAAAGGATAGTGCAACTCCAATGAAGTGATAGTAAAGTGCCTTTGTTCACCACAATGACTGCAATTTATGACATCTTACCACCACACCCTTAACATAAAATTCCTGGCTATCAGGAAAAGGGGCTCACCTGCTTGCCTAGGGGAGCAGCTCTAGGCAATCCCAGAGCACACCTGGGGGGAAAGGAGCTTTGAGGAGGAAGTCAGTTTCTAGGGCTAGGAAGTGCTGAAACAGCTTGAGATCTGAACTGATAAATCAGACCAGCATTTTTCTCTCTACAGCTTTTTTTTTTTTTTAGTAAGAACTTTTACTGTTACCTACCAACATTTTTTGTCCCTTGTCTTGCCTGTATAAACCATCCATACACCTTTCTTATCCAGTCTTGTCTGGTTAAAGAATGGACAGTGTGCACTCTGGCAGCAATAATGTCTTCCTAAGTGGGAAGAGAGGTGTATTTGGGGTGTACCAGGCTCCTCCCTCCATCCTCAGCTGGATTAGTGGGGGCTGGGGACGCATCTCTCAAGCTGCAAGGTTCTGGCTGAGGACATCAACTATGCAGGCATTTGTGACATTAAGATTAATCTGTCTGACATAAATAGAAACACCTGTGCCACAGCACCAAAAGAAACGAGAGCAAGGATTAAAAGAATATCCCCTGTTGACTACCAAGGATGCAGATCACAGGTAAGTGCTGAGGAGTGCAGAGTGTTTTCACACAAAGACTGGTTGGTACTCTCCATCAAGTCCCCCACCAGGGATAACTCTCCCACAGATGTCCTGTTCTTTCATAAGAGGAAGGTGGGAGCAAAAATATACCAAACTCTTTTGCCATCATTCTCCTCTTGTCCTACAGAAGGAAAGTGGATAACCATTTCAAAATGGGAAAACAAAGACAAAGGGGAGCAATCTTGCTTTACATCTCTGTAGCAAGGACTGAGCAAGGTTTGAGGCCGGAGCATTACGCCATGGCAATATCCCTAGAGAGTATACAAGGACTTACCAAAGGCAGCTTGTCACTGCCTAACAAGAGACATATTAAGGGCTCCATAGGTCAGTGTCTTCTGTCCCTAGCGGGTATGGCACACACAGGAAATCTTTGTGCACACATACATTAACTTAAGACCTTGAGCAGCTGGGACTGGCCAAACGTTTAAAACAAAATCACCTTCCCTTCCACACTGTTTTACACTACTAAAAATACATTCATTTCATAACATAGAGCAACAGGTGTAAAAAGAGGTGTTTATCAGAGTCTCTTTGGACAGCACTGGGAAAATGGAATAAAAACTTCACACTTTGAGATTACTCCCTCATCAAGATCCCCTCTATTTTTCCCAGAATGCTAAGTTTCCTGGACATCACTCATCACTTAGGTTTTAATTAAGCAGTCTGTGTGCCCTGGTTTCAGCAAGGACAGAGTTAATTAGCTACTGGGAAGAAAATTAACTCTACTGCAGCCCAAGCCAGGACACTTCACTCTCTCTTTCTGCAATTTCCCCTTCCTTTTTCTTTGGTTCCCCTCCACACACACACACTTTCTCTGTCAAAACATACCTTTGCTTTCATTTGGAAATAAAGATTGGCCAGATTCAAGCCACTTACCAACCCTTTGGCAAGGTTCAGGATATTGGTTACAACTTCTGCATACCTGAATATCACTGTTCAGTTCATTTTGTCTTTCTGCAAAAGGCTACTGTCTTGTCTTTCAACTGGACTAACATTATTTGCTTTCTGAAGGAACAAAAGTTAACATCTTACAATTCAGTCTCCTACTGACCTGTATGTGACCTTCAGTCTTTCAGCCAAATATCCTGAACTCCCCTTTTTCTACAGTTCATCATGATTCACTCATTACATCTGCTTCACTTGGTGGAGTCCTGAGTTTTGGAATAAGCTTTGTAGTACAGCTATAGTAGCATTAATAACACCACTGCTTTTTGGCATTACTCAATTGAGAAGACAGAAAAGATCTTACTAGAGATCTCCTTTACCACTACACTCAATATAATGAAAGAGGTAAGAACTGAAACTAGGATGAGAAATGTTTTCTAGTCTCTACTGCAGGCTGCGAAGTGCTGTGCCATCCCTCTTCCCCCCTTGACACATGGGTCCATGCCTCTCCCAGGCCCCCAGTAAGCACTGACACACCCAGAAAACAAATCTCTCACGGGGTAACACACATGAGGTAATCCTGCCTGCTTCAACACAGTGAGGCAATATCTCCAGTACATCCAGAGGTGGACACAGAGCAATCAGGGACCCATCAGATGGGAGGAACAAGCAAAATCAGCCAGCCAGAAATTACAGCTGAATGAGTTGGGGCTGCTTAAACTTAAAGGAAATCTGAGTGGGGACTCAACAGCATCCTTTCAGTGAATCCAGATTGTTGCGAAGAGAAAGGAAATAAAGTAATTTCAATGTCTGTGACAGATTGGACAGGAAGTAATTGCAGAGAAGTAATGGACAAGCATATAATTGCAACAGTGACAATTTAAGAGATTTAGGTAAGATATTAGGGAAACCATAAATAGGGTAAAGATGCATTAGGTAAAACAAATAGTCCTTAGGATACAGCCTGGCTTTCAATGGTGCAGAAAAATGATGCCTCGCAGTCAGTTCAAGCTGTGTTTCAAAAACCGTATCTGCTACAGCAGCTTCCATGCAGATCCCCAAGCTCCCAGTGCTTTGTCTCAGCCCTGATAACAAGACCAGAAAGTACTGTGCCCTGTCCACAGATAAAACAGTTCTCCATGTAACTTACCATCTAGAAGCAGGCAGCATAAGTTTCATTGATGGAAGGACTCAGCAAAATACACGTCAGACCTTTGGGAGCACCATGCAGAGACCACGCAGCAATGTCCAAGCATCAACTGGTTCATATCAGCACAGGTCCTGTTACATACACTGTTCCTGAGCCACAATATAGACAAACCATTGCATTCCACTTCTTTCTGATCAAGTGGTGAGAACTACAAACCACAGAGTTCAAAGGGAGCACTGCCATGAGCCTGAACAGCATGAGACACCAAAGAAAAGTGCAGCCTTACTATCCTGGGAGGTTTCTAAATGTTATCTCATTTCAGCCATGCACAGATGGTCCTTATCTATGCTAAAGAGGAACATATTTCCTTTCTATCAGAGCAGCAAGATGCTCCAAGGCTGCTGCTTGCCCCCTGCTAATAGGGCTCTGGAAGACACAGCAAGAAAGGGCTCCAGTTTCTGTAGTGCAATTGCAGCACGTGCCACTCCTACAGAGCTATTTCTGCCTTCTACTAAGGTGTGCAGGCAAAGGCTCCAGCAGGAGCTGGCACTGGGTTTCTGGGCATTGCATTGCGCAGCCCCACCAGAGGCTCAGCGTTGCCACAGCTCCTCAGGTGCAGCTCCGAAGCCACTGGGTAACAGGCAGTGGCTGCAGCTGGCAGCACTGCTCTACACAGCCCCTTAATTTTGCATCCCAGGTTCTCCTGCTCTGTGGAGAGCCTCACTGAACTGTCAGTCGCTGGGGGACAAAAGGAGAGTGCTTTTTAGTTGTAACATGTTAATCCCTGCCCCAACTGATTGCCAGCGGTAGCCACAGCACGAAGCACAATGACAACTGAAATGCTTCCCTGGCCCCAGCTTATAACAATACCTCTGTAACTCCCTGAGGCTTTGAGAGGATTAATTAGCTAACATTCACAATGCTTAGAAGATAAAAACTACTCTGTGAGTGTTAAAGGACTGTGTCATCAGGATATCAGGAGTTACTCCTGGCTCCATGAGGAGCAGTTGCTCCAGGTGATTTTCGCAGCACACAGCAGGCTAATTTTCCACCGCTTGTGGTGAATTTCAGACCTGATTTGGAATTCTTTCAGTGAAAGATGCAAGGGTCGTCTTCTTTTAACTTCCTCTCATTTACAAGGGCTGAGCCCTGGAAGGTTTAAGATTTCCAGCACTCACCTGCAGAAGTCAAGCTGCAGGGATGGCAAGGAGAACAGGCAGAGCACACATAGCCCTGCTGAACCCTTTCACACAGACAACACGCAGTATGGTCCAAACACACACCTCTGCAGAGCAGCTTCTGGGAAGCAGGTTACAGCTGGAACAGCTTTAAGCTCAGTTTGTGGCTGACTGCTCAGTTTCAGCCACACCAGTAATTTGCTTCCAATTGTCCCCGATGTCTTTTACCCAGCAGCGACAAAAGACAAGAGAGACTGTCATGTTTGGGAACCAATTCAGCTATAAAGACATATATGAATTTCAGAACACGATAAGGGCATAATCACATCAGGTTTGTAGTGCACGCTGTAGCTCAGGCACCAGCAGTCCATCACACCAGGGCTGGACATAGTCCACTGCCTTCTAGAGCCCCTGCCTGGCTCAGTACTCAGCTGGATTCGATCCCTTCCTCTCAGAAAGAAAGCATCCTTATTGAGCCCTGCGTGCTTACAGCTGATTGTAATTCCAAAATTATTGTCACTTTAGGAAAGGAAAAAAATATATATATATATAAAACCACAACCCACTTTTCTAAGCACTCTGCAAGAAGAAAACCAATTCCTCAACTGACAGTGCAACAGAGGGCTTTCAAGTACTCCACGCAGGTCTAACATTTATGGGGCTAGATTTTTAAAAAGTTAAACAGGATCTGAATGCAGACATCAGGTGGTGTATCTGGGAGCCTCTTAGTAGCCAGTTTCTATCACTGTCATCATAAATCAGAAAGCTGTGGTCCAGTGACTTAGGCACTTAAATCCCTTTTGCTTTCCCTGGTTACTCTCAGCAAAAATTGATTATTAGCCTTAAAAGTGGCAGAAAACAAAACATGTGGAATGCGATTTTAAAATACCTTGTGATCTATTTAAGTGAGCCAGCATTTTCTAAGGAAGAAGCTGGCTTGTCAAGGTATTATGACTCTTCTATCTGGGCACAGTTGGAGAAACTTAAGTAAGCTTCACATTTCCCATCCTCTGGAAAGGAGGGGGGACTTAGCAATTAAAAAATAATAATAATAATTTGAAGTGATATAATTTAAATGCATTTTAGCCTTTTGTAGCAATTGGACAGATCAATACAATGGGAAAGGTATTACAACAAAGGTGCAGTAACTGAAGGACTGGCAGAACAGAAAGGTGCTATAATGCAAGGTAAGATGATTGCTCACCCATATCAGAGGATTAGAGGTTCACAGGGGAAAGCCTCACCAAGGATCTCCAAGAAGGGATCCTTTCCCACTGGCTGTCAGCCTTTAAATGAGGTCTAAAAGAGGTGCAGCCAGGCTCTGGTCACACAGCTGAATTGCCTTCACCTGTGGTGCCAGGGCTGACCAGGTCCTTTCCCCAGGTGCTCAATCAGTGGTCCAGGCTCTGACTTAACCGTTCCCACACTCCTTTAAGTAAAGGTCCACAAAAATTAGGCAAGAATTTGAGATTATGATGCAGATCACTAAATTGTGGGTCCTGGACCCAAAACAAATCTGAATTTCTGAAAGTTTCCTGTTTTGCATTGTTGTCATCCAGAATCTGCTGCTCTGAGGAAAACCAAAAGTAACAGTCTCAACATAATGCATGAAGGTCAGAGGAGGCAGCAGAACCTCCAAAGGCTGCTGAAATCAGTACTTCCTGCACCACATGCATACACTCATGCTGGAGGACTTTGGAGACAAATCTGTTCACAGATGATATAAGGTTTTTTCTGCTTTTTCTTTTTCCCCCCTCCAGCTGTTTTTCTTGCTTAGCCTAGAGGAGATTGCTCCGGCTTTTAAGGGGGCCTCTTCAGAACAGATGCTGAATTGGGACTTCAGGCAAGATATTCTACAGTCTTCTCTGGAGAGGAGACTAATGCATAAACAAAGATTTCACAGTCTTATCCAGATAGACATCTCTTGGCTTTCCCATCCTGGACAAACTAGCCATGCTGAAGCAATGCTAACTGAAAACAGGAGACTCCAGCACTTCTGTAAAAACTTCCTGCTATTAATAATTAGCAGTACAAATCTCTTCAGACACATGAAAAGCAAAAAAGGAATGGCAGAAGCTATAGAAACATTACTTAGGTAGGAACAGGACGTGTGAATTCTTGCCCATATTCCATAACTCATTCCAGTTACTGTTGTCCAAATAGGAATGTAACCATCCCTCTCTGTTCACAGGCTATGACTTATCATTTATTTTACAGAGGGACTACCACAGTGCCTCCCAGCCGCAATGGCCCAGATAAGGTAAGTCTTCGTTCTGTAACCACAACCAACTGAGTTGCAGAGCTAGAAATCCCAAAGGGGCTGCTTCAGCTACAGCAGCATTCCTTCTGCACATTCTGCTTTCCCCTCCTTCTGCTACTCCCATCTTTTCAGCTCCGAAATGCTCCCTATTTTTAGTACACAATTTGGATTAAAAATTAAACAAAATGGGAAATAGCAGACTGACAATCACCATCCCAAAGCACTGTATGCTGATTTCAGATACAGCTTGTCTTGGCAGCATTCTCTTTCCACTGAGTGGAATGCAAGTTTAACAAATCTTCCCCTCACACTCTCACACTTGCCTGTTTCCCTGTTTTACCCAGTGTACACTTGATTCCTTCCTCTCTCCTTTTTCTTTTTTTTTTTTTTTTTTTCTGATGCATGCTTCTCTCAGGAAATAATGGAAATTTTCATAGCATACTTGCTCTCAGGTTAATTCCTAACATGCTTGAGCTGATGAAGCTCACGTTGACTGAAGTACAAAGGAGCAGCTAGAGGAGATGGCTGGGAAGAATTGGAGAGGGACAGTGACTTGATGTGGATGAAAAATTTCAGTGGCATAAAGAAAAAACGAATCTGAAGCACAAAGCTTTTACCTATCCAGAACTGCTTTGAACTTAATAGAAAATAAAGTCCTCATAAGAGAGCATGAGGATAAAATCACTGTCTGTTATGCGCTCTTATT